AGTGTGCTGCTCTCCCAGGCTCTTTCCAACTTTGCAGTAGAATTAATAACAAACTTCTTGGCCTTATAAGAATTAGATCATCAATTCTGATCTGAAAGCAAATGCCACCTCATCAGAGAGGTCTTTGAGCTCCATTGAGTTAAACAGACATGGAGAATGGGATCTACCTGCTTTTACTATCTCATATCCTAACAGGCCTCCTAAATTAAGGCCTATTCATAGTCTCAGTCCTTTCATACAGAACAACCCAAAATAACTTTCCCAAGGACATAGGAGTCACTGATGAAGTACAAACTAGAACCCACATCTCCAAACTCCTTCAGTACTCTGATCAATACACAAGTTGCTAATTGTCCACTGGAAAATATCTCTATGTAGGTACCTTTGATGATCAGGGAATTTTGAGCCTGCTGGGAAATTATTAGCTCAGAACAGGAGGCCTGGTTGTTGATTAAACAGAGCTGCCACCAGTTAGTGTTAGGGGACAGAAGTGAAGCAACAACCAGTGAATAGAGAATGTGTCGGGAGGCCCTGTTAACTCCACAGGTAGGTAAGCATGTTCAGTACACAGAGGACTTCAGAAGATAAACGGCACCTTTTTTTCTGGAGATTTAAAAAATAATGACATTCCATTGTTGCAGGGAGACTGCAATTTATTTGCTATTCAGAGGCAAACAAGATGGAGAGATTTTTGTTCAACCATCCTAGTGATGAACCCTACAACAAGGTATTCCCTTATTACATTTTTTTGTGTTAATGTCTTTTATTGGTTTAATGAAATTCCACTTTTCCTTCAACTTATAGCTCTTCCTGGACACTTTAGAGCATAATTATTGGATATCTTAACATCCTCTGGTCACTTTGGCAGGGTTATTTTTATTATGATCTTTGTCATCTCCCAACTCCTAGGTCTGTGATCTCCTGATCCTCAAACCCATAAATCAACCAAAAGTCTTTACAACCCACTGTGAGCACTGTTTTAACTCACCGACTCTCAGATGAGAAGAGAGCTTATATGTAACTTGGGGCACCTTATTTCTTGGCACGTGTCCCCTCCATAATGTGTGCCAAGTGGCAATCTAGTTTGTCTATCCCACATCTGATGTGGAACTTACTATTTCCTGAGGCATTCATCCCATATCCGGGCGTTTGGATATTCTCTAGGTACAACTCAATCTCCTCTCTTCCAATTGAGGTAACTAGTGAATACAATTTCTGATGCCATCCTTTGTGGTTTGGCTCAAGAATCACAAAAATACTTCTATTGGCATTGCTACCAAGGTCTACCCAAGTGGCCAAGAGTGTCTGCTTGTTTAAGCAAGGAGAGGAATTCATGCTAAAGTTCATTTGTAAAGCAAGAGAGTTTGGCATTACTCCGAGTGACTGACACAAAGGATCTTGTGGTCTGGATGGAAGGTGAGGACAGAGGAGCTTCTGTGTCCGGGTGGTTTTGAGGTTTTATATATAAAGGCAAGATAACACTTCCTGTGTCAAGGCCTCTTTTCTAACAATACTCAAGTCTTAGAAAGGATACCTTCATTCAAAACAGAAATTGTGTCTTCTCAGAGTGAGGATTTTGTGCTTTGTTTTTCATACCTTTGACTCCAGCCAAGCCACCCCAGAAGCCTATGTGTAAATACATAAAATACTAAGTCTTTAAGAGAAATTATAGCTTAGCACAGTCTTCGTGTCAGAGGGCTGAACTTAGCAGAACTCAAACCTTCAGAGGCCTTTGTCTGCTTCCTGCATCTTGAAACAATGAGTGGAGACAGGACTCAGTCTCCACTTCTGAGAGAATGCCTCCTTTACATCGGTGGGCTTTTCTTCTCATCATTTGAAGGTGTTCGGAAATAGTGGGAAGACCAAAAGGGTGTCAGGCAAGGGAATGAGGCCTGCGAGGTGGCTAAAGCCTTGCTACCTGGAAAACTTCACTCAGCAGTCCTTTGGGTTTGGTTTTGTGTTTGTTTCTTGCTTTCTCAAACTCGTAAGTTGTCGTTTTGTTCATGGGCCACACACTCTCTCAGATTAGTGTCTCTGGGGTTCCTCAAGCCGGTTTCATATAATTAGTCATTAACCAAAGCAGAGCCATATGGGTGATTCCTTTATCGTGAGACTGAAAGACAGGGTCATCCAAACCTGTTTGAACAGGAGCTATACTTTCTTGGCAAAAGTGAGCTAAAAAGCAGTGATTGTCGTCAAGCAGCGAGGGGAAGATGAGAGATAAGCAACTTCCTGAGATAGGCTATGAGCACATCTGGCACAAGGGAAATGGAGAAATACTTAAGGGATTAGGTCAGTGATTTTCAACCTGTGTGCCGCAAGAAATTTCTAAAATGTGCAATACTCAACTCTTTAGTCAGAGACACTGACCTCTATTCCCTTCAACTGTCAAATTAAAAAATGACAACAGCCAACACAACAATAGCTGTCTGGTGTGAATGTTGTGTCTTGAACCACAAATATGTAGGTCATATAATAGAATTGCATCTTGTTGGTTATGTTGCATAATAAGTTTGCATCCAATTGGTTAATTCTTGGTACCAGAAATCTTTATATACAAGTATAGACACCTGATTTTTTAAAAAGTCATTTTGGAGCAAAAATGGTAAATAGTATTATCCTATATAATAAAAGGCTAATATGCAAATTGTCCCCTCGACCTGGAGTTCAACCAGGGGGTGGGGCTGGCTGGTGGCCTCTCCCCCTGCCAGCCCTGCCCTCAATCAGCCCACCACATGCCCATGGCCCCTCCCCACAGCTGGCCTGGCTCAACTGTCCCCGATCGGGCTGGGCTGGCCGGACCCCACCCGTACACGAATTCGATAATAAAATCTCTAGTTATTTTTATAAATCAAAATCATATCTATTTTTTCAGATCGTCAAAAATATATTTTTGGTGTGCTTCAGAATTTTAATAATTATGTGTGCTGTGAGATGAAAAAAGTTAAAAATTGTTGCTTTAGGTCATTAGGATTGTGGACCTAAGGGAATTAATGGAGCCTGGACTAGAACTGTCCTATCTGAGGGCTTTAAGACAGTAATTATCCTTTCTCTCTCTCTCTCTCTCTCTCTCTCTCTCTCTCTCTATCTCTCTATATATATATATATATATATATATATATAGTAATATTCCTGCAGACTTTCCTATAAAAGGAAAGGGAAACCAACCATGACTTCTCAAAAAACTATTATCTTAAAGAACCAGAGTTCTGGGGTACCTGGCAATACAGACTTAGACGTTGCAGGCCATTTAAGCCAGAAACAGGGGTGTTTAAAATCAGTGGGCTGCTTCCCATTTTGCAGTCAGTTTGGAGTGATCCTAGGGTCCTGCATATGGGACTGTGGGCCCCTAATTAACTGAGATTCCCTCTGTACCTGATGCTGGGGTGGGGGTGGGGGGCTGATGCCAGCAGGTCTCCTGCACCAAGCCTCACACAGAGGCTGTTAACCAGCAGTGAACGGCTTCTTTAGCTTTCAGTTCCTTGTTATTCCTCCTGCTCAGAAACAGTGAAAGACCTTTAGATGAGGAGTGTGCGGAGGAGCAAGACATGGGAAAGGAGGGAGGTCATTTTTTTTCATGACAAGAGAATGTGCCTTAGACAACTGAATGTTGTCTGCACTTCAGTTTAGATTCTTGGGTAGTTCAGTCTCTTCTTCTTTGATCTAGAAGAATAAGGCTTAAGATTATCCAAACCTGAAATCAGGGCCCCAGGAAGTCCTTGTCTTAGGACACGGCTTCAGTAAATATCTCTTCCCTTTAAACTTGCTTTGCTGTTTGTGAGGCAAGGATGAAGCTTCCAGTCAAAACAGATGCCCTCTTTCTCAATGACGAAGTAAAATAAAAGTTCAGGACAAAGCTCTTAGCAGCACATGAAATCAGATGTCCTGTTGTATTGTTTAATGGTCTAACCCACACCAGGACGCCTGGGTCAATGTGTACAATACCTTACTTTACACTGGACTTCAGCATCATTCCTCATAAAACCAAACACCCCACACAGATCCAGGAAGAATCTCTTTCTGCATCATCTACATGAATGGCCTTTGGAATAACTGAGCAGAAAAAGCATAGTAATGTGAAATATTTATAAATTACTGAGTCAGTTCCAGCCAACATCTTGGAACGTTTTGTTTTCCCTGGTCCCAGATGTTTCTCCAGGTTCCGGAGATGGAGAGGCTACTAGTAGTGTCAGAAAAGAGGGCAGCTAACCAGACAACACCTAAGATACGAGGTTTATACTTTTCACCACTTAGAGAAAGCCCACGTCCCAAGAGAAAGGCCGCTCTGGCCAGAGCTCTCTGGAGTAATAATCCCCAGAAATGGTACCAGAGGGAGCAACTAAAGTGCCTGCGAGCCTGGCTTCTTGAGCCATGGTCTAGTAGACGGTGTTCGAGGACTTCCTGTTCCTGAAATCATCCTGGGATCTGTCCAGTGAGGCTGAGGTCCTAGGCTGAAGCCTCGGATCGGCTCCGTTCCCAATGGAAACTTGCAGAAGACGGGCCTGGTATTCCAGACAGGCATTCGCCGTCTCTCCCTTGTGGCTCTTGGTGACCCCAGCTCAGCACTGCACTGAGGGCCGCTGCCGCCTTTCTCTCACTCACTCAAGGCAGACGCAGCCACGCGGCTCTTCGAGGCCACGTCCACGATGTGCATGAAGTCAGCAGGGTGCCACAACCGCAGATGAAATGAGGGAAATGGGACTGAGATGCAACTTCCTGTCCTCACTACAGAAGTGGCTTCAGCTTGAGCATCAAGGTCACAGATCTGATTATTTATGTGGGGCAGAGCTGCCCAGTGACACAGAAACTCATCTTGTAGTCATTGCTGGCGAGAGAGCATTTTATCCTGAGTCCGTGGGTTTAAACGGTGCTAGTGCCTGGCTCACGTGGTCGGTGACAGGAGACAGTGACCAGAAATATCCAGGTGCTGACCAGGATGAGCAGGGTCACCTCTCCGAGAGAGGTTGTTTCCCCAGGTAGAGATTTTCCCCTGAAGTTAGCTGCTCAGGGTCACTTAAGTAGCAGCAAGCTGGGACCTCCACCTCTCTCCACAGACCAGAAAAGAAAGGGCTGAATCGGTGGCAAAGAGCTGCAGCTGCTTGCCCGACTCAGTCCTCTGTTCCCCGTGCAGGACAGGGTGTTCTCCGACTGGGTTTCACCTGGTATATGATCGCTTCCAGCTAAAGATCTCATCCAGGCTGGAAGAGGGAGAGACCTCTCGCTTCTGCAGGGCTCCCCAGCGACGCCGGCCCCCTAGCAATGAGCCTCGGTGCTTGCTCAGCCCTTTTATCCTCTCCTCTGTTCGGAAGAAGTCAGTCAAGGCCCGGAAGGACTCCAGGATAACCTCGTGGCTCCACGCTGGCAGAGACTCCTGGCGCAGGAACCCACAGTGGCCGCCCTGGCGACTGAGCAGGAGGAAGAAGTAGGGGTTGCTGTGAAAGAGTTCAGTGGGCAGAAAGTGGTCTGGGGGCCCGCACACGGGGTCATCCGCGCTACAGATACACAGCACGGGCACGGCGGCCTCGTCCACGTCCCGGAGGGGGTCGTTGTGGTCCCAGTAGGCGTCCCAGCTGATGGGGAAACTCTTGGTGTGGCAGAAGAGGGTCTCCTCAAACTCTCGCAGGGAGCGGCTCCTGAGCAGTTTGTGGATGTCCACGGTGTCCGCCAGGGCCGTGGTGTACCTGGTAGCAGGAAGGCGAACAGAGAAGGTAGGAAAGAGAGGGGAGAATTAGAAAACATGTCAACAAATTGGCAGCTCACAAGCCAGATTCTGACCACAGAGGCTTTCTTTGGCCATATAATTTTTTTATATATTTTATTGATTTTTTTATAGAGAGGAAGGGAGAGGAATAGAGAGTTAGAAACATCGATGAGAGAGAAACATCCATCAGCTGCCTCCTGCACGCCCCCCACTGGGGATGTGCCCGCAACCAAGGTACATGCCCTTGACCGGAATCGAACCTAGGACCTTTCAGTCTACAGGCTGACACTCTCTCCACTGAGCCAAACCAGTCAGGGCCCATATAATGTTTTTAAAAATGTCTATTTCATTGTCATCATTTGAAATGCAGCTATCAGTCCGGCTGACGTGGCTCAGTGGTTGAGCATCGACCTATGAACCAGGAGGTCACAGTTCGATTCCCAGTGAGGGCACATGCCCAGGTGTGGGCTGGATCCCCAGTGTGGGGCATGCAGGGGGCAGTCGATCAATGATTGTCATCATTGGTGTTTCTGTCTCTCTCTTCTTCTCCCTTCCTCTCTGAAATCAATAAAAAATATTTTTAAAAAATAAATAAAATGCAGCTATCAGGCTCCTTTAGACAAATGAGAAGATCTGGTGAGATGGGCTGGCGGTCCTGAGGGCAACAATCAGGGTATTTCCTTCCTCCTTCCTGTGTCATGGTTCCTACCAGGTCTGTCCCTCATGGCATTACCTGCCCAGCACGGGGCAGCATTGACTTTAAGGCTACAGCGAGGACAGCTCTCCTCCTGATCAAAACTTCTGTCCCTCTGTAGGGAACTTGTTGAACCCCTCTTAGAATAGCTCACTGGCTCGGACTATCTAAACCAGCAGGTGGCACCCCCACAATTAACATTTTACTTTAGGGTGCATTAGTTTGTGTGTGCTTTAAAAGCGAATATGCCATCCAGATCATGACAAAGGAGGGTGTGGAGGAGGTTTTCCTAGAGAGGGCTGGATGGCAGAGGACGGGGCTGATTTACAGGGTGAGTTCCCCAATGGGGGCCTGAGAGCAACTGTTCTGGGGAAGGGGGCATCTTTGTTGTTGCCACCTCCCTGGAGAAGGCCTGGGGCCCCCGATGAGGAGGCCAGGATGGGCAGCTGAGACCTTTGGGGGGATCAATCCAGCAGGCGTCCGTTGATTTTGGATGTGTGTCTCCTGAATCATTCAAAGAGATTTGCCCTGGGTCTTCAATCCCAAACTTCCATGAGCAAGCAGGGTAGTTACTAAAAGCTCCGTTTCCTCTCCACTTTCCTCCCCTTACCTTCAGCTGGTGCCCAGGGTG